ATAATGTGAATTTTTCTTCTGCTTATAAAAAGAGAGCGCGCCATATTTCTCCTTCCTTTTTTGTTCCCCAAGAAGGAATTTTTCACTAAGCAAAAGTTAAATATTGTACCTTCACATCATATAATGTGAGTATACGTGTGCATATACTTTATAATATATTTTTATTTATTTATTTTTATTTTATTATTATTATGTTTTTGGTAAGGAAGATAGGTCCTGAGCTAACATCTGTGGCAATCTCCTTCTATTTTATGTATGGGACACTGCCACAGCATGGCTTGATGAGCAGTATGTAGGTCCACACTCGGGATCCGAACCCGTGAACCCCAGGTGGCTGAAGCGGAGTGTGCAAACTCAACCGACAAGCCACAAGGCTGGCCCCTATAATCTATTTTTAATTAAAAAGATCATAATTGTATAATAATAATAATAGCTAGCACTTAGTTTGAGCCAAGCATTCAATGAAGTGAGTACTATTATTAATTCCAATTTACAAATGATAAAACTGAGGTACAGAGATATTAAATAGCTTATCAAAGGTCAAACATCTAGTAAATAGTTTTGCTGGGATTAAAATCCAGGCCATTTGGCTCCAGAGTGTGCTCTTGAACATAATGCTATATAAGGTATGCTTCATAAATCAGCAGGTTTTCTTATGAAAATCAATCTCTTTCTCTTTATTTTGGGAAGAATAATGGTGCAATGAAGATGATAGATTTTGAAATCAGACAAAGTATTTGAATTCTGAATATGATTTTTAATAGCCCCAAACTTTGGAAATATTATGCAACTTTCTGAACATCTGCATACTCATCTGCAAAATGGGGATAATTATATTTCACGGGGGGTAGTGAAGATTAAATTAAATTATATAGATTGAGAGACAGAGTCTGGCACTTTTTTTGCTATTTAGTTGAAATAGTGAAGACATCTAAAATCAGTGAGGAGAGATAGATTATTCAATAAATCATGTTTGATTAATATCCTAATCAACTGAAGATTCAAAAAAATGTATGCTATACCAAAACTTCCAGATGGATTAAAATTTTCAATATAGTTTTTAAAGTACTACTGGATGAAAAGGACTAAGACTATATCAAAATCATAAACATGAAAAATCCATCCACTTAACCAGATAAGAAACAAAATGTTTATTTATCAAAAGATGAAAAGTTTAAAAATTACCTATAAGAGGGAAAGTTATTCATAACAAACTTAAAAGACAAAAACTTAACGTCTTTAATTTGTGATGAGCTCTTTTACATCCAGAAGGAAGGACCAACTCTCAAATTGAAAATGGATAAAGTTCATGACTAAGTAATTTATGAGAAATGAAATGTAAATGATCAGTTGACACATAAAAAGAGGCTCAATGTCAACCAAAAGAATCTAAATTTAAAAGACCTTTTCATATTTTGATCACCAAAATTTAAAACCATATTTAATATCCAGTGTTGCAAAGAGTGGTGGAAAATATTCCTTATCAAACATTGCTTAGATTTAAACAGTTTAGGTTAAACTGATCCAGTATTTTTGAAAGATGATGATGTTCAATAGATATCAAAATTTATTATATATAACCTCATTTGCACAGAAACTCCCCTTCAAAATCCCCAGCCTAAGGAAATAACTGCTCAGAGGAAAATGTTCATGAACTAGGATTCACAGTATACCAGGAGGAAAAATAGAGAAAAAGAAAAGAAGCTAATTTACCATTAACATGGCACTTGTTTAATAAACATTTTTGTATACAACTTATAAAATGAATAAGGAAGAGCTCTATACACTGGCATGGAAGATGTTCATAATACGTTAAGTAGAAGACATAGATTGCTAAACAGTATTTAGATACACATGGTATGATCCTGTTTATATATGAAATTATGTTTCATTATATACATCTATGTATATATAATATTTATGCACAAAAATTATATTATTTTTATATGTTTCAATTTTTTATTTCTAACAATAATAAAGGTACAATTACAATTAGAAAATAAATATATTTCCATTTTGAAAAGTTAATTATGAATTTAGTTTCTCTTTTATTCTAGATTTAAGTATATAGGCACAAATTTAGACAGAGATGCCTGAGCTCTAATGTAACTTAGATTCTGAAAGATTGATGTAATATTTATCTCCTCACTGTTTATATTGCAGTGTTAAAAGTTTGCGCTTAAATATTTAAGAAATTTCAAATACTTTTATAAACCTACCCTAAAACTCCTTCCAACCAGCACTGTCGTTTTGTTCATACTATAACGTATAAATGAAGGAGGCAGGAAGTGCACTAGCTTTTCATGTCCTGGAGTTTCTCTCAACTTCAATCTCTTCAAACCATAAAGTCTGCTTTGAAATTTTTGACTTAAAAGAGTAAGATTGCTCAAGCCACTGTCACCCTTTATAGATAAGGTGAAGTTTTCCTTTTATTGTCATTACTGTTTTATATCATGTTGAACTCCAAAAAACACCATTAAAATCAAGGCTGCCTTTTCTTTTAACTTACCAAGTCAATACTTAGATTTAGATCAGAGTATTTTATGGTGACTGGGTTGTGTGTGTGTGTATGTGTATGCATGGGTACGCGTTCCAGGGATGCGTACAAATGTATGTGTTGTGTGTGCATATGCATACACACATGCATGCTGTGTGTTTGTGTATGCATATGTCTTGCAGTGAATATGTATGTGTGTTTGTCCATATCTTGTATGTGCATGCTATATTAAGAAAGAATATCTGAAAATGCAATATTTACAGTACACAAAATGAAGCAAATATTTAACTTTTCCCATTTGCAGATAATATTGTGGATGATAAAAAGGCTTTAATCATATGTGGGCAACCATTGTAGGCTCCTTAATGGCAGCATCACCTCTGAGGCCAAGTTTACAGGGTAATTACATTTCTGCAAATGCAGGATCCAATGCACTCGAGACCGAAATCCAAATTTTGATAAATGGATTTCATGCAAAAATTGTTTATTCTAAGATGTTAAAAATGAAAAAGGATATGCTTAATTTTATACTATAGCACCACAAAACTGTGTTTCTCCTAACTGCTTCATTTCTTCCCCAAACTGCAAAGTCAACTCTAAGTGCACAGAACAAGAAATACGTTCACAATCTGAAAAATGGCTAAATTTAGTCCAAAAGGCATAACACTGAAAATTGAAGAATATGTTAAATTTTTAGTTTATGTTTATTATTATTTATTTGCTTTTGGTTTTGGAGTAAAGAGACATGGAATCATTACAGAAATTTTTCTTATCTTGCTTTTTTACATTTAATTTCTTTTTGCCTTTTGTTTTTCCCATATGCTTTTGTATTCAGCTTTATGAAGGATAAAAGAAGTAAATGTTTCTGGGGCTTGTAAAATGATAAATTGGTCAAAGAGGAACATTTTTCTTTGTTTCTTTTATTTTTCTTTAGATATTTTTGTCTTCATAGTTAAATATTATCTTTGAAAGGTAGTAGTATTGTTTTGGTTTGGTTTTTGAAAGAAATAGAAGAAAAGAAGAGTAGAACTTTGACGAAGGGAAATATTTATAAAATAGTGTTGAAGAAGATTCTATTTTACTTTCACGAATAAAATACTTTGCCTGGGACGTGTACAAAAACAGACATAGTAATGTGGGGTAAGAAGCTTAAGTATTAGAGAAAAAGAAAAGCAAGTTTTCTGTCAGGAATCAGAAATAATCCAAGGTAAATGGAAGGATAACTCTCACTAGGGTGAACATGCATTTTTTGATACATAATAAGATTTTATATTTCTTGACTCTATGTGGAACAGAAGAATGTATAAGAACTCAAGTGCACTCAAACCAGGAACCTCATGTTGCAATAGATCTATTTTTTTCTGAAAAATATTTTTAAGGATCCCAAACAGCTAACATGTGAGCTCTTCACAAATTGTAAGATATATTTTATGGAAATATGCTAGCTTGAGCTGCCTTAACCCCTTTCTGGAACAAGGTAAAGTATTCATAAATAAATTAATTCACTGACTGCCTATTAGTAAGCTTAAATCATTAAGAATTTATATTTTTTAAAAATGTCCTCTTCTCTTCATTCATATGTGCAAAAAATAAACTCAGTTATTATGTATGGATAGCCTTGTTGTTCCAATGGTGAGATCAAAGAAGTAAGAAGATATCCTGAGAGCAAAATGTTTCTTAGAGGATGTGACTTTTAAAAACGATTGTCTCATCTCATGACCACAACAAGAATATGCGTTTCTAAACAGATTGCTTGAATTCTAAGCCTTTTTATCTGATGTTTATCAGTCAGTCAGACATGGTAGCGGCACTTGTAGGATTATGAGAGTAGTACTCAGTAGAAAAACAGGGAAGAAGTAAGTATTCATCATTGGAATGTCACAGCACAAGATGGAAAAGGCATCGTCATGTACCCACAAAAACATTGTCTGCTTCTGAGTAACAAAGAAGTGATAGAGGGGATCAATAAGTAGCAAAGTGAATGAAAAAAGAGAGAGTGACATGTCTATAGAAATGAATTTATGAAACGAACTTTCTTCTTGAACAGAAAACTCCATGAACAGCATTTTTTACACATTTCAGAAGAATGTCTACCACCACCCACAATGGCAAATATTCTATGTTATCAAATTCACTGAAAACAAAAAGCAAAGAGGACGCTCGACAGCATGGATTTCCACAAACTGATTGGATCCAAGGAATTACCCAGGATGCTTATTAAACGTTTAGATTCCCAGGATCCACTTAACACATCTATTGAAAATAACTCTCCACAGGAGGGTTCTTGTGACTAGGCAAGATTTGCAAACGTAATATATTATAAAAACATGTAATATGTTATAAAAGGCATCTATTATGATTATTTTACACCAATCCTTTTTGAGGGTTGAGAAAAAGAGGGCAACAATTCTGACCCACTGTTCTTTTTAACTGTTTGTTGCAAAGTAGAACAGGGGAACTTTTTTAAAGTTTCCATGTTTTAATGTCCCGGTAATGTACTTACTACAGTTTTCAGCTTTCCTGTTGTCCCGGATCACTATTCTTTGGTTGATAGTGCTGAAGAGCGTTGTCCAGTTAATGGTGTGATAATAGCACAGGTTGCTGTTGTCTGTAATATAGATGTTTCCTGCACTGATTTCCTTCAGGGACTGGAATTGGAGAGAAGTGATGCCCTGTTGCTTGAGGATAAGCAAGGAGAGGCCACTAAAGAGAAGGGAGGGAGAAAATGGAACAGTGATAAGTATTTTCTCACCATGATAGGCATTCTTGAAGTAAAATAAGGATGTTACACCTTACTCCAAAAATAACGTTAATAGAGCATAAAAAGAGATTCAATCAACAAATCTGTGCTGAGACTATTTCTTTACATGCTATATACTGAAAGTTTTAAAAGGAATCATTTGACTCTCAAAAGGAAAATGTTCATTTTTTAGAGGTATGGATATTAATGATCTCTCTAACCCCATCTATACATTTACCACTGACATATCTGCTTACTGCTTCCTCGCTACTTCACAAAATTTAAGTTCCTCAAGGATGAAATTCTGAATTAAGACTAAACAATTAAATAAATGTTTATGGAATGAGTGTTCATCTACCCAAAGTAAGACGTTAATTCTACTCTAATTATTTAATAGATCTAGACATGCTTTCAGAGGGTAAATATTGCAGAGAATGATATGTATATTTAGCTTTCATTTATATCTCAGAAACCAAAGTGTAATTGTAATAGTTGAGGAATGCAAAAGTAAGGATAAGAGATATTAAAAATTTTAAAAAGAATGAAATTAAACTGAAATTTTAAACAATACTCAGAAGGCTTGAACAACTGGGGAAAGCATCTCTAAAAGTTAAATAACAACTACACTGGAAGCAAATTATCATTTCAAGGAAATTATTTCTATTTCAACATAGTCCACATTCTGTAATTAAATTCCTTTTCCATTCTCTAAAGAATAAATGTGTTTTGCACATTCCAATCAACTAATGAACATTATTTTACGTTTTATAGATCAAAGCTGTCCCCTTTTATTTCAATTATAAATCTAAATATTCTTTGCTGTTAATACTCAGATTTTTTTCCATATGTTATATATATAAACACACGGAGAACTATATGTATACATATATATATATATATAACTTATGAGTTTGTATGTGTGTCTGTACTCAACTGAGGTCTAATTCATTCTCTCAAAATTTGCCCCCATGATAACCACATTGAGTTATTAATTACAGTGTGAACATAATAATGCCTTCACAGATTTATAACAATTTGTCCAATGGTTAGTAAAAGTTGGCTGCATATGGCACTTGAATAGATTGTATCTCTCTATCCTTTTTTATTAAGCATCTTTCCCCTTTACATTTTAAAACCTCTTACAAATATACCCATATTAACAGCAAAATTCAAGGGACTATCTGTGAAATATTGTTAGAGAATATTTGATGACAGTATTGATTTTGGGCATCTTTTACATTTAGGCAGAAAAATTAAATCAAAATCTGTGTACATAAATCAACTTTTAACTGTCCATAAATAAGAATTTCATATAGATGAAATCTGAAATAAGATAAAACAATGGCTTAAAATATTAACCCATATTTTCTTTTATATGAATAAAGAATATCAACCTTGGAACTTTAGAACAGTGTCCTTCTGAGCCCTAACATTTCTGTCCAGTATTAACCCGCACTGATGTAAGGTGGTTGACTAATTCTTAAAACATCAGCCCCACGATGTGTTGTTCAAATGATAGCACCAGAGATAAAATGAGAGCCTCCTGATCAAACAGCATTTGTATCCCACACACCTAAGCCATTGCCAAGTCATCCAACTCCATCTTTTAATTATGATAACACAGCTCAAAAAGAAGCTTCACTTTTATGGTTCGCATCATGCATTCCATATCTGCAAAACACTGACATTACTTTAAGTGATAGGAGGTTGAAAAATCAGACTGTGCATTTTGTATATTTTAAAGAAGAATTAGGGATATTTTTCATTGAGTTTACTTTTGGAATTAGGAGTGGAAACCCAATATTTCTGAAATCAGTAAATCAATGAGGCTGATGGGTTTGACGTAATGTACACAAGGTTCTAACTCCTGAAATCTGGAAGACCTGCAGCTTTGAACATACGTACGTACCTATAGAGTACTCTTCCACCAATGGTCACCAGGTTAGAAAAAACACTGAAGTCGGTCATGTTTGGGGGCCATGATTGTATGTTCAAGAAACCTACAAAAGATAAGGGTAGTAAAAATAAATCTCAGAATATCATTGTCTTAGTTACAGTGTTTAATACTGATCATTCTTGAAAGACGGTGAAAATATATTGAAAGGCAGGAGGTAGGAAAGGGCAGTGAAGATCCTATTTTTGAACCATTCTAGCTCATATTTCTTCTTCCAAGATTGAGTGTCTTACTCAAAGTTTCTGGGCTGCAATGTTCAATAGATAATGAAGATCAAGATAATGAGCACTAAGAATCTATGTTTCTCAGACATATGGAATCATATAACTGTATATGCTAAGATTTAAATGATTCTTAATTTGATTCATTCTTCTAAAAGCAAAAGTATTTAGTCTAGATAAAGAGAAAAATATAGTTTCAATTTCTCTGAAGTCCTTTAGCACTTTATCTGTACACTTATGACATCAGTTGTCTACCTTGCATTCGAAGGCATTTACATACAAATCTAACACTCCTCATTTGATTTTACATTCTTTGATAGCAAATACATGTCTGATGCATGTCTATGGTCCCCATACCACCTACGATAACAGCCCTGAATATACTCAGGGCTCAATAATATGTGCTAAATGAATGCTACATGTTATGCACGTTCAATAGAGCTTCTTATGAAAAAGTAAATAGAAAAACATGGGTGCAAAGATCAGTTGACACTTGCAAAAACAGTAACATCAAAATTTCAGGGAAATTTAATTTTTTAAATTCTGCAGGCTTTCGTGCTCTTTGATTGGAAGAATTAACATAGTTAAAATGTCCGTACTTCCTAAAGCAGTCTACAGATTCAATGCAATCACTATCAAAGTTCCAACAACATTTTTCACAGAAATAGAAGAAAGAATCCTGAAATTTATATGGAACGACAAAAGACCCTAAATAGCCAAAGCAATGCCAAAAAAAGAGCAAAGCTGGAAGCATCACAATCCATGACTTCAAAATATACTACAAAGATATGGTAACAAAAACAGCATGGTACTGGCACAAAAACAGACACACTGATCAATGGAACAGAGTCAAGAGCCCAGAAATAAACCCACATATCTATGGACAGCTAATTTTAGACAAGGGAGCCAAGAGTATACAACGAAGAAAGGAGAGTTTTTTTTCAATAAATGGTGTTGGGAAAACTGGACAGCCACATGCAAAAGAATAAAAGCAGACCATTATCTCACACCATACACAAAAATCAACTCAAAGTGGATTAAAGACTTGAATGTTAGATCTGGAAACAGTAAACTTCTAGAAGAAAACATAGGTAGTATGCTCTTCGACATTGGTTTTAGGAGCATATTTTCGAGTACCATGTCTGATCAGGAAAGGGAAACAATAGAAAAAATAAACAAATGAGACTACATCAAACTAAAAAGCTTCAGCACAGCAAAGGAAACCATCAACATAACAAAAAGACAACCTAAGAACTGGGAGAAGATATTTGCAAGCCATATACCTGATAAGGGGTTACTATCCCAAATACATAAAGAACACATACATCCCAACAACAAAAAACTAACAACCCACTTAAAAAACGGGCAAAAGATCTGAACAGACATATCTCCAAAGAAGATATACATATGGCCAACAGGTACATGAAAAGATATTCAACATCATTGGCTATCAGGGAAATGCAAATCAAAACTACAATGAGATATCACCTCACTCTGGTCAGAATGGCTATAATAAACAAGACAGGAAACAACAAATGTTGGAGAGGATGTGGAGAGAAGGGAACCCTTCTTCACTGCTGGTGGGAGTGCAAATTGGTGCAGCCACTATGGAAAGCAGTATGGAGTGTCCTCAGAAAATTAAGAATAGATCTACCATATGATCCAGCTATCCCACTGCTGGCTATTCATCCAAAGAACTTGAAAACACAAATGCAGAAAGATACATGCACCGCTGTTCATCACAGCATTATTTCCAATAACCAAGACTTGGAGGCAACCTAGGTGCCTATCAAGGGGTGAACGGATAAAGAAGATGTGATATACACACACATGGAATACTACTCAGCCATAAGAAATGATGAAATCCAGCCATTTGTGACAACATAGATGGACCTTGAGGGTATTATGCTAAGTGAAATAAGTCAGAGGGAGAAAGTCAAATGCAGTATGATCTCACTCACAAGCAGAAGATAAAAACAGTGACAAACAAACACACAGAAACAGAGATTGGGTCTGTGGTTACCAGAGGGGAATGTGGGAGGGTGGAGGGCAAAAGAGGGATTAGGCACATGTGTGTGGAGATGGATTGTAATTAGTCTTGGGTGGTGAACATGATGTAATCGACACAGAAATAGAAATCTATGATTATGTACACCTGAAATTTATATAATGTTATAAACCACTGTTACTGCAATAAGAAAAGAGTAAGAAAAAAAAACGTTCTGTGGGCTTTCAAAACATGTACAAATGCTAAGGAGTAAAGACACTCATCACTTAAAGTGACATGCGTTTTAAAAACTAGAATTTGCTTTGAAAATGAGTTGCTGATTCCAACATTGTGTAATATTTTCAAGAAAACACTAAAATTCACATAGTTCATAGCACAAAGATCACACTTTAAAAATTACCTGTTATCTCTCGGACGGTCCGAAAGACATTCAGTTTCTCTGGGTCTATGGCTTCAATTGCATTGTAAGGGTCCCTAGAGAATCAAGAAGAGATGCAGCCAAATAGAAGATTAGATACAGTGGTGAAAATATGAAAAATGTAACAATAGTTACTTCATTCAAACTGAATTTTAATTAGCAATAGGAAGGTTAGCAATGTCTTGTCCAAATTTTTCTATGATAGATGTGGAGGGAGATTAAAATGTGCTTTGAGGATATTTTTGACAACACACAATATGAATTCATCAAAGGCTATTCCAGATGTAGAGGAATAGTTCAGTTTGACTATCCTAAAGAAACTACAAATATAGCAATTCTATTTATGAGTCATTTTATTTTATTTTGCCTTTAAAAGTTTATTCTTACTGAGGAAAATATACCCTACAAATAAATTATTTTATGGTGAGAATAATTGCCTTTTGGTCAGCTCAAACCATTCTAAATTGCTAAGAGCACCTGTAAGTTCATAGAAAGGATAAAAACAAGCACATGAAGTCAATTTTCTTTTGCTCTATCTTCACATTTATCTATTAGCAGATTTTCACAATATTCATAATATTGTATGAAAGTTACTCCTTATATGGATTATTTAGAGTAATCTTGTTTCTGTTTTATTTATACTCACTTTTGTAACATAGGATCTATTTGCTTCCATCTATATGAATCATACTAACATTTGAAAACAAAATTTACAACAAATTTAATAATACTCAAAAGGTGTTGTAAATTCTGGAGATTATTAAAGATACCATCTCCTAATGCATAAACATATTTTTATAATTAATGTTATTGCTATGTAGATGCCCTGTCTTTTCAAAAATGAACATAAACCGTCTTTTAAAATCAAATATCTAACGGAATTTTTTCAGAGATTTTCATCTTAGGAAAATTATTTTTCATGTATAACATGCTGATGATACAAAATAATTACATACTTGAATATTAAGCCAAACATAAACATAATATCAAACATTTCTCAGTAGTTCAAGTAATACTTTTCATTCTTTTAAAGAATATATAATATTTTTTGAAAAGTTTTATGACTTTAAAAGACATTCTGTGCTATTCTGGGCAAGTAGAGACCTCCTATTAGTATCTGCCCTTCAGAGAAAAACTAAATTCTGTTCATCGGCCACTTCTCTAAGAGAAATCAAACCTTCCAAGAACAATGAACTGAGGCCTTTTTAGAAGCATGTCTCCACCTGTAGGAATCCTTGCTGTGGACATCTGTTGTTTTACCAGTCTTTGAAAACCTTCTTTTTTGTATGGGAATAACCACTAGGATACAGTGATCCATCGGATGCAGTTTTAATAGGGCTGTCAGTCAAGGTGCTCCACAGTCTCCTGACAAACAGATAGGCATACACCCTATCTCATGGGACTCTGAGGCTGAGTCCATTGGCATCTATTCATCCCAGCATTAGAGCCTTGAGAAGACTGTTAGTTCCAGCCACCTTGATCTCTGGAACCACCTTGGACTGGCTCTGTCAACTTGGTTCATCAGCATATTCTTCTGTACTGTGAACCAACCTTTATCTTTAAAGAAAAAAAATCTTTGCTTGATTAAATTACCATTTCAAACTAAGCAGTGTAATCTATTCAATATCCTACTAGTTTAACCTGGAGTGCTATAGAAGGCTTGGAGAAACACTGTAAAAAAGTTTCCCCAGGGGCCGGCCGGGTGGCGCAGCCGTTAAGTGCGCACGTTCCACTTCAGTGGCCTGGGGTTCGCTGGTTCGGATCCTAGGTGTGGGGACATGGCACTGCTTGGCAAGCCATGCTGTGGTTGGCATCCCACATATAAAGTAGAGGAAGATGGGCATGGATGTTAGCTCAGGGCCAGTCTTCCTCAGCAAAAAGAGGATTGGCAGCAGTTAGCTCAGGGCTAATCTTCCTCAAAAAAAAAAAAAAAAAATTAGTGGATTTCGCCACTGTAAAATAGAAAAAGTTTCCCTGTAATTCACACATACACAATTAAGATTTTTTTTAACGTGACGTGAGTATCTCTCAAAAGCTTAAAGTCTAAATTAAATGTGCTGGCAAACTTGCTCTATTTATAATTGAAGATACATAGAATGAATAATTACGCCTTTGATGAATATGAAGCCAAAAAATTAAGTTCACCACGTGGGAAAACTCTTGTTGTTATCATTTTTTAATGTGCAAAGACTTTTGTATGCAGAAGAAATATCAGCATTGCAGTAGTAGGATGAGCTTTCAACATTTGTTCTTTGAAGAAAAACAGTGTAGAGAACAGCTCTGATCACATAATCAAATATTCTGGCTTTATTGAAAAACACTCAAAATTCAGGGCAAGCCCACACTAATAGGGTCGGTCCAAACGTTTACTGAGAACACTTCCAGGTTGCCAGGAATGAAATGAATTCTGGACAGTGGACCACAGAAATTTTATATGCTTAATTTTAGAGATTCAGGACTCTAATAAAATAAGTTGACAGAATCTCACTTACTGCCTTCAAAGTACCTCTAGGGAGTTTCATCCTACAGCCACTTGAAATCCACAATACTTTAAAAGCTCGAACTTCCCTAGTTCAATTCAGAGCCATGAGAAAGAACATTGTGTTCACCCTGTCATTGTGTTTGGTGATCCAAAATAAAGCTCAGGATAAAGGAGGAGAAACATGTTTTTACAATTCCATTGAAATCACTCTATTTTTTCACCAAACCCATTATCTCTTTTCCATTATCTATCATCTAAGCACTTTGCTGTGGGTGTCTCATTGTGACAGCATGAACGTGCTTATATGGTGAGCGTTTTGTTGCTCTAAGAACACCGACATGAACAATGTCAAACACGACAAGATGTGAAAGAGGATTATTGCTGAAGATAACCCTAAACACTGAGTTTTAAGGGCAGTTCCCATTCTAAATAAGGAAATAAGAGTGTCCAGTCTATTTCTGGCAAAGGCACTATTGTGCTATATACCGAACACGTCAATTAACTTCCTTGAGCTCTTTTATTCATTAAAATTTTAATTGACAAATTGACAGCAAATTTATTTTTTTGCAGAAACTTGTTTTTGAAAAGTATAATCTCATTTAATTATGAATTTTGCCTTTCTATTGAGTTTAAAGAAATACCTCAGCTATTTTAATCAAACCACACATCCTAATAAAAACTAGTTAGTAGAAGATTGAGGGTATGGGAATGAAGTGAAATAAACACTTCTTTAATTGACTAGAAGTTTTTTCTTTATAATACTCCATATTATTCACCTTTAAAATCTCTCCCTCTTCATACACGTGCACACACACATATTACATACGTGAATACACATATGCCTATGCATACATGTCTCAGGCCTAGTGAGTTAACTGTCTGTTAATACTTTCCAAAGATGAAAGGGAGAGGCTTAGAATACACGTTTCATGCTAGTGTGAGACTAGGAATGAGGAACATACCATATTTTACTTATATCTTTGTTCTGGGAAATGCCTTATATATTTTGCTTGGGACACAATAATATTAATTATAATGTTAACATTTAAATATTCTGAGTTTAAGTGCTATAATAGAGAATAAATAAAAATCTTCTGAACTAAGTATGATTTATCATAAAGAAAATATTGTCATGAAAGTAACTTTGCCTTTATTTGGTTTCTAATAGTCTATAAAATAATATCTGTTGCACTATATGCTGTGCTAAAAACGAGACATATATTAAGATTTTCTTTTGCACTGTCTTCTCCTCCTGCTTTGCTGTTTTCTTTTTTTAAATTTTTTCTGTTTTGGGGGATTTTTTTTATTTTTGTTACTTTTGATTCTTTCTCTCCCTCTCCCTCTCTGTCCTCCCTACCCTCTCTCTCTCTCTTTCTCTCTCTCTCCCTCTGCCTCACTCCTTGCCCCAACTCTTTCTTTTTTATACCATTTTATTAAGGTTTCACTGTATTCCAAGTACTTGGCTAAACATTTAAAAACATTTTTTGTTTTTAATCCCCACAACAACCAGAGGAAGTAGGTATTTATTATTAATTCAGTTCTCAACTTTACATTGATGGAAATGACGTGTTTGACATGTAATGGAAGCCACCCAACTCAATACGGATTGTCCATGATGGGGCCTCAAATCAAACTCCAGTCTAGTCTGGATCAAGTTACTCAAGGAGAAAATCTAATTCTCATTTTTAAGAGAAGCTTGGTTTACCTTTCTATTTTCACCCATCTGAGTTGATCTTTCTGTTAGTCACTTTTCAACCGGATGAATTAGCAAGGTTGATCTCCTTGAAAGTCTAATGTTTTGTAATGATTCTTCTCATAAACTCGTGAATGTATGGTCCTTATTGCACAATATATTTTTATACCTTGAAATACCTGCTTTCTGTTTTTGCATTTATTCATTAATATTTCCCCTATTCTAGGCCTTAGCTGAAGGAGAAGATGTAAAACCATTTTATAATTAGTACAAATCTAGAGTTTTGATAAATATGTTCCATAATGAACCAGGACTAAAATAACTATTATGAACCACACTAAGCCAGCTCTTTTACAAACCTTCCCACCTGTGCTTTATCTATAAGAAGGTTAACCAGGGGCTGGCCCTGTGGTCTAGTGGTTAATTTTGGCATGCGCTGCTTTGGCAGCCCATGTTTGGTTCCTGGTGCAGACCTACACCGCTCATCAGTGCCCATGCTGTGACAGCAACCCACATACGAAATACAGGAAGATTGGCACACATGTTAGCTCAAAGTGAATCTTCCTCAAGCAAAAAGAGGAAGATTGGCACAGATGTTAGCCCAAGGCGAATCTTTGTCACAAAAAAATAGATTAACCATCAGCAGGTTTCTTTTGTTGGTTCATAATCCTTCTACTGGCAGAAAGTTCTTGCAGTGGTCCTCAGTGGGGGCAGTACCGCTCCACTAAAGGGAGGCTGGGGCACTTGCAGAGGTGTTTCAGTTGTAACAGAGACTGAGGGATACTACGGGCTTTAGTAATCCCAACCCAAGGAAGTGAAATGTCTTTCACAGCAAAGGATCGCCTCATGTCTTGAACAGCCTTAAAATGTCCCACTCAGTTTAGGACCTCATGTGCACAGACTTCATAGTTGCTTGTATTTGTCGGTAATTCTGTAGTCATGTTGCCTCTATTTCAATAAAACTTATTTCCCTGCACTTCTTGCATGGAATGACTTGTTTTAGTTCTTATAAATCCTAACTTTCATTACAAGTAAGTAGAAGCTGGGCATTTTCCTATCAATACATATTTTAATGTATTGTAACATTATGCATTACTTTTCTTGTTTCTTCTTTAAATTACAACTGGAGAATTACAATGACTTTATAAAATTATGTATATAAGTAGGCTATCTTATCTATGACTTTGATTTCAACATTGAACAGGGAGTGTTAAAATGCTTAATATTTAAAAGATGGATGTTGGGTCTGATTGGGATGAAAACCACTCATCTAGTGAAATTCATGAGACTATGTTTTCAAATTTTTCCCCGCACTGATGGACTTGAGGCCAATTCATTGACTACATCCATGTAGAACCAGGCAATGTGAATCAAGTGGCTATGTCTTCTTATTTTTCAGAATATAGTGTTAACATGATATGATCTTTCATTCACGATGATATTTCATTTTAAAATAGTTAAAATGTGGATATATTGTTCTGCTAAATGTTATATATGAGTTAAATTACATAGATACACTTCTCCTACCTGATGGGGCCAAGAAGTTGAAGACAGCAATGTGAAGGATTCAGAGGAGCAGAGGGGACTATGCTAAATTCAATTGAATATGTCCCGTCTCAAAATGGTTAGTACTATCCAGCTCCAACATATTGTTGCCATGTAAGAATGTAGGTTAAGAGCAACCAAGTCCACATATTTCTAAAGAGAAGTTTGAAATCTTGACCTTATTTAAAAAATAAAACACTTCTTGGGCCAAATATGACATATCTGGGACAGAAAGTGCATACATATTATAATATCTGGTATAGACCCACATTAAAAGCTTCATTTTAAAGTAAAGAAATGCTTAATGCAATAAGACCTACAGTAATTTATTTGAATGGAAAGAAACACTTTGTTCTATTTCTCTTACTGTTTTTATCTGTACATATTTATTCATAATGTGTTAAATTATTTTGCTGCTAGAAATGATGTGATATAAATTTAAAGTAAGATTTTGAGTTGAAATTTGTGAGTGATATTCTTTATCTGTAGCCTGTAGCACTAATATTTAGGGATTAAGTAGTAATATAGACAAATAAATAAAATATGAATTAAAAATATTGACATTTGTATTGCGATTGAAAGCATACAAACTTGGTCATTTTCCCAGTTAAAATCAGTGGGTGGTTCTGTAATGAAATAGCCCAGAGAGTGTTACAATTTTCCCTGCTAAAATTAAGTTCATTAAGTAGATCTTTTATAAGAGTACTAACTTCCCAATCTAAGAAAAAAGAGAAAAAGATACATTAGGAAAAAGAGAATTCCTGAAAGCTCAGGAAAATGTGAGCTTACTGATTTGTTTTCTGTGAGATACATTTTTAAAGGAATATTAATATATGTTGTCTTGAACTAATCAGTTAGGAATTTGAATTCCCCACTTTACTCATCGATATTCTCTCCCTAAACAGACCTAAAAAAAGGTCAAGCTTGCTGAAATCTATAGATTTAAGAAGAATGTCTTACAAATACATTGTAGCTTATCTATGAAGTTATATTTTCAAAGCTAATTAGGCACCAAACTCATAAGCTGGATGTATCCCAAAACTTTGGTTTATGATCACTGCTGGTGAAATCTGGCATTTGATTTTGTTGGAGAAAAGCATTAATATAGAACAGAACTTTTCTCGGTCAAAAGGAACCAAACAGACAAAGCTAAAGAATCTCTTCAGTTTTGTTTAGACTTCGTAAAATAATATTCTACAAAAATTTAATACTGACCCATGAATACCAGTGACAAGGAAGATCAAATTCCCATTGATTTTGGTGCAGTTTATGAATTTGTCAATGTTACTGGAATCCACAGTCTGAGCTGACAGCAGTGATCCCGTGCCAATGCCATCGCAAGCTGCAGAAACGAGACTCACAGTCAGGGAGTTGAAAAACTGTTTTTCAGTCCATAAATCATTGCATTTTCATTATAAAAATGAAAAAAAATTCGTCATAAGAAATACATTTTCTAACAAATAAAATAATAATTCTTTCACGCAACATTTACTACTGGGCGTGCTTTAAAATACTGTCCTTGCATTTTAGTCTGGTGACTATGATTTGTAAGAATTACATTTTATAACAGGACCCAGTGTGCATACGCAACACATACATACCCTTACTACAAAAAATCACCTATTTTTCAAATCCATCCTAAAATATCATTTTTAATAATTTTAAACACTGGTCACTTTAGTAAAATAATTTCATAGCCTAATGATGGTCTGCAACCTGTGGTTTTAAACACACCAGTCTAATTAAGAATAGATGTTAAACAGAGTCCTACTGATGTGAGTGGTAACCAGAATCAAGAGCCATTCAAATATTCATAGTTAAATTGAGTATTACCTGTGCTCTCTGAAGGCTCCACTTAAAAAACAAACAAACAAAAATGTATATGTGTGTGTGGAGAAAGAGTCCAAAAGTAACTCTAAAGTTCACCGTTTTTACAGGCACTCTTCGATGCCTTGGAAAGCTTAATAACATTTGGAAAAATTAGGCCACTTTCATCCTGCTCAATTTAAGCTTCATTCCAGCAAGGGATTTGAGCACCCTAGCTGGAGCGATTTCTTCTTCCACTAAAATTCTATAATATGAATTATCTGCAACATTTATTTAACACACGGTAAATGTTGTCATTTCATGTATCTTATCTTTCAAAACGTTTCTTAGACCTGGAAACAAATGTCACGTTGCATGTCTCTTTGTGTCGTCTTTCACGCATAGCGGATCACTCTGCACAGTGGCAAGCAACTAAGATGTGTTCTTGATGCTAAAACAATCATGTGAACTGTTCCGCGTAGCTTCTAAGATTCGCTACCTATAGGATGAAATGCAACTTTATTTTTTAGTCCCTATCAAAGTTAACTCTGAGTATTATCTGGATCCTTTTAGTATATATCATTCAAAACCAATAATACACACTGTTACAACAATTGATACTTTGGGGAACTGTTCAAAGTCATAGAAAAGTGTGCGTGGGAAGATTTGATGGTACGAGAGCTGTGTTCCAAGAGACTAACTTACTCAGCCCATTAAAAGGTGAAAGAAAAACCTTGGTAGAGGCCCCTGTTCTGGCTAAAATAATCTCAGCTATCACTCACCTTTTGGGCAAATATCAGTGCAAGGTTTACACATTTTAATACCATTTTCTTCTACTTCCATCTTGGAACTAGGACAGGCACGCACACAAGAACTGGAATCGACCACAAAGTTATCTGACAAAACAAGGTAAAATTAGTAATGATACTGATGTTCAGCAAACAAATTTAAAACAAGATATTTTAGGCTTTGAAAATGATTACCATCATTGATAGTATATATGTCTTTTCCCCTAAAACAATTCTCTGTCTAAATATCTCGACCTGAAATCGCATCTACAACATCGACATTCAAATCCAGTAGCACTGAGTATTAACAACGTACTTGCTTGACTACTGCTCCACATCCTGAATTGCCCCCAAAATAGAGGGAATTTATTTTATAGTCTTAGGAAACTACGTGACATTTAGTTTATGATTTTTCAGTAGTTCCACTTCATTTCATGGCATGATGCAAGTTTGAAGTCTAAAAATACTTCCCATTACATGAAGCTCAAGTTAATCTGCCTTAGATCAAGAAAGTGCACTTCATATCCAGGAGGAAATGTTTACTAGATTCTGTCTTTCCGTGGAGTGCCATAGAAACCATCCCAAAGTTTTTCAAGAAGAAACAAAATGAAATTTGAAAGGGCAGTACTTTAGGAAAGGTATACTAAATAAACTAGTAACATCTAGTTACCTGATAGATTGGTGAAATGTTTGGGAGTCCAGGGATCTGGAATATTCCAGGATATTCCCTCCCCAAAAAAGGACAAATTATTGCATCTAGAGCATCCTGGAATAAAGGGAAAACATAATACGTTCTAGGCCACTTTGGGTTTTGCAGGCAGCATCCTTCCATGTCTGGGAATACTGCTTCTGGCCCAATATTCAGTGGTATGGAAGGCTTCCAGCCTTGAAGGGGCCCAGAGCAGGAAAGGCATGTGGCGCAGTCCAGGCTGGGGTGCAAGAAATTCTGCTACTTGGGTTATAAACCCAAGAGGATCTATGATACTGGAAGTATCTGTGTTGAGAAAATATGCCATGTGGAGCTATGGCAAGTCCTAACTGGAAAATCATATCAGAGACCTCTAGGATTCTAGATCTAAGCCAGGCCATCCGCAGCATAGATTATAACCATTTAACAAACATCTTCTAACATGTTTCTGGGTCCTGGTAAAGATAGAACACTTAACTATGGGTCACTGATTGACCTTGTAGGCAGAATTGCCCGTCACCAACAAGATTTTATTAGAAACATGATGTCATAATGTTGCGCAGGTCCAAGAGAAATCCACTGTAAGACAGAAGCAGTGCATTTGGGATTGGATGTGCACAGGGGCAGAGGCATAAGTGACCTGCATAAGCAGGTGGTCCAGACCCCCATGTCATACACCATCGTGCTGGCACTTCCCACTCAGCTCATACATCTGGCTGCATGGGGGGCCGAGAGAGGGTGCTTGTGACAAGCTGAAAGAGGAGACAAAAATTAAGCTTGGCATGTGGGTGCAAGCAGTTGAAAATGGATGGCAGCTGCCCTGCAGCCTCACTCAGGAGTGGACTTGAAGGAGAGTGGCAGGGAAAAATCCTACCAGTGGGCATAGTTCTGGGTAGTGCAAATAATCATTTACTTTGTGTGGAAGTGACCTGAGCTACGAATATAATGGACTCATGAGCACTGGCTTGCCCTGGGAGAAGAAATACTGGAAAATCTGAGATTGAAGGGAGTCTGGGGTAGAGGGATATACATGAATCTGTGGGAGTGGGCACAAAGTGTGAAGATCTTTGTATTCCACCAGAGGGTGTCTACCACAAAGGAGGCACTTTGTTTAGACTACGTTGCAGCCTGATCCTGCTTCCTTTCCCTCCTCCACAGGTCTTGATTCTGAGAACACTCCTTAACAACTTAATCTCAGTCTCAGGGGAACCCAACCTGCAACAGGTGCATATACTGTATATTACGGAACCACCTTTTCTGCAAGGTCTTTAGGAATACTTCATATTTAAACACTTTCTCATTTTTGCAACAATTTATGCTAAGTGGAATAAATAAAGATTAAAAATAGCCTCATATTAGTTAGGTTCAGGTTTTGCAGCCAAATGAGTTTCAAAAAATATCTGTTGTTTGGAGTTTTTTAATTCCAGAATTCTGGATTAGGATTGTAGATCAGTATTTAGAGGCTAAATGTCTATGCTTTTCCAAGATAGCTACAGTTTAGCAAATCATGCGTTATGAGCAAGGCCCATCAAAGATTTGAATTTTACATAGGTAAATACTGACGTTCTTTAAATTAATCTATAATTTGATAGGCCTAAAGTAAAGCAAGGATGGAAGTTTGTGAGTTACCATGTGTAAAGTAACTAGACATGCAATATCACACAGCCGCTCCCAGTGTTAGGTACTTGCCACACGTAGGACCCCAGAGCCTTCAGATGAGCCACTGTAAGGACCAGAGTAAAGGAAAGGGGACATAGTTCACTTTCCTGGCCCTTCTTCCACTCCAGGTCAACCCCTGGGCCTCATCCTCAGGCCTTGAATAAAAGGGAAAGCACCAAAAATCTAAAATAAAACCAGTTTTGATTGTCTTTGGGATAAGTCACCATAATTTGAAGATAGTAGAGTAGGAGGATATTTATCTAAGAAAAGGAAAAATGTCATCATTGAGCCCCATCCTTCCATACTTTTAAGTCCCCTGTTTTGCAAGGGTAGCAGCTGGTGGGATACAGGGTAACTTTAGACAAGAGGTTATTAGATCAAAAACATATGTTTGTGGGCTGGCCCGGTGGCACAGCAGTTAAGTTCGCACATTCCACTTCAGTGGCCTGAGGTACTCAGGTTCAGATCCTGGGAGCGGACCTACCATCGCTTATCAAGTCATGCTGTGGCAGGTGTCCCACATATAAAATAGAGGAAGATGGGCACAGATGTTAGCTCAGGGCCAATCTTCCTCAGCAAAAAGAAGATGATTGGCAGCGGACGTTAGCTGAGGGCTTATCTTTCTCAAAAAAAGAAGAAAAAATATGTTTGCACATCCAAGTGTTTATGATGAAAAAGTCCTTAACATCCTAGAGTTAGTGTGCCTGTGACTTTAAAATGCTAATTCACAGGCATGTTAAATTTATATTTATTTACATATTTATATGCATAGTTTATATTTATATAAGTAAATATATAAATATATTTAATAATAATGATTACAATTGCCATTGTTTTCAAAGACTTGTTTGTATATACTATCCCTCTGATCCTTATTCCCTATGACTCTGGGAAAAAGAGAGGGGAGATGTGATTATTACCATCCACATCTTAAAGAGGAGGAAACAGAAAACTAAATAGTTAATTTAAAATCACATGACTTATAGGTTGGCAAAGCCAGAACTCATATCCACTCTAATCCCACGTCCCTTACACTTCCTACTCCATCCTATGCACAAAACGAAGAAAACCATAGTATCTGTATTCTGTAGGCTGTAAAGCCTTCTTTTAAATGAGTATGTAGATGAACGTAGTGAATTTTTCCAGCCTTTTCAATAGGAAAACATTGACCACTCCAAGCAAAGAAACTGACCTGAGCAAACATCAAGACATATATTGTACTGAATTCTTGATGAAAGTTAAGCTGGTCACTTTGAATCCCCAGGAAAAGTTATCAATTTGGTAAAGACCTTAACATTGCTTTCATATCTATCGTTCTTGTTTAAGATTAGATGTGATATTAAAACTCTAATGCTATGTATTCTATTACAAATAAGTAATCAGAAATAATTTTAGGTAAAAATTCATTGTTATCAGAAAAAGACCTCACTCATTACATAGTTTGCCGCAACTTTAATCACTTTTCTGGGAGACAGCATCATGTGCAAAAACGTGGAGGTGTAGTGAAAATGGTGACTTTAGAAGTCAATGACGCTGAACTCTCACCTCAAACATGCTACTCTTTTGCTGAGACTTTGGACTAATCACTTTAGTTTTTGAATTTTAATTTAGTTATTTGCGAAATGATAGCGATAGTACCCACACCCAAGGAATTCATCATTATTGTTACAAGTTTCAAATTATAATAAATTTACATAAAATTCTTTTGTTTTTAACTGACGGTCTAATTAATTTGGCTATTCTTATCCTGTTACTTACGTGGGCACTTCTTGACACAAAATGCTCCATACGTGTACTTTGCATTGAAGTTATGCTCCAACTGAAAGGTGGTTGGATTGTAGACAAAAGTTTGGGGACACTGAGTAACACATGCTCCACTGTCATTGAAATTCATGCAGGCCTGTAACACAGCAAATACCAATTTCATTTAAAGATAACTTTCCTCATGCTTGTTAAAGGAACACTGACGCAACAGTTTTGTGAAAAGGTTGTTTTTTACTTGGTATTCATCAATTTTATAAAAACTGCAAAATTTGATAATTTTGTCATTGTTAGTGTTTATTTTTTAAGTCAAAATTTGTTTAAGCCCTCCAAAATTTTACAAGACTACTTTTACAATGTGTGTAAATATACTATCTATAGTTATTGATGTTCGATTTGCTTAGAATCTATCCACTAATTTGTAAACAGAATTGGTTTAAAATATAAAGTTAGCTAATGGTGAAGAATCATTTAAGCTCACACTTATTCAAAGGGTTTGTGTTTAGTCTTAGAGTCTGGTACTGACAACTAAATCCCAAATTCTGTAGGCTAGACTTTCCTTAAGCTGGCGTTTGGAGAGTTCAGTGATTTATGTTACATGGTTAAATCAATCATCACCATTGTACAATGAGAAAACACCGTGCTGGCCATTTAAAATGGACTCAAAGAAAAGGCTCTGGCAGGAGACTGGTCAGTTGTAAATGTAGGCTGTGTAATATCCAAATGTAAAGAAGCGCCCATAGTTAGTCCGTATTTAAATAATATGATGCCATTTCCTGGATGGTCTTTTTCATAACGCCACACCATTTAGTAAAAGCTCCTAAGTTCAACTAAAACAATTTGTTTCTTCTGACTTATACATTTGTATTGAGTCCTCACCTTGTTAATATTTTCAAATGCATTTGAGGAGAATTAAAAACAATTGTTCCACCTGAGAGTTAAGCATTGGATATAAAAATAGAACATATGTATAAATACATTAAAACAGATGATTAACGAAAGAATAGATGAACTAATTCTCAGAATTAAAAAGTTAAACCTTCATAGAAATAATTTGGGCTTTGGAAGGCAAGCTAATGTGAACTCAAGCTATATTTTACATTTCTTCATAAATTGTATGTATGGTTATTAATAAGCATTAATTTATTCCGTTTCCTCAAAACATTTTCTTCATCAATTGTTATGTTAGTAAGTACTTTGTCACAAACATGACAATTCCCGTGATGGTCTACAGAGACATAATCAGAGTGAGACTCACTGATGACACATTATTCACCATGATGACACTTCGAGGAAGAACATATTGAAAACCAACCTAGAAAACTCAGACAGTTTTAATTTATGACTACAAAACTTCATGTGCCCTCATAATTGCTTTACTAACATACTTTCTGCAGTGTTGTACACAGATTTCTTGGCAACAAAGGAATGCAAGCCAGAGGAATAAAACAAATTTACCATCCAGACAGCGTACAAAACAACCCAACTTACACCAAGGCCTCGGTCTGGCATTCTTGAACATTCTGAACCAAATGCCAAAGTGGAATCACTGGCCCATTCCATAGAAGTAATGAAATGAGAATTCTGAAGCTCACTCAGCACTCTATCATAATAACGGAACCGTGAAAAAAATGCAGTGAAAAGCTAAGAGAAAGTTATGGCTATGTTGGTGTTTACTGTCGTTATTGTTTTGGAATTGTTAACACAACACCCGTTCAGTATCCTCCAAATCAAGCTTCCATCCCAGGTCTGGTGATTGGCAAGAGAAGGGTCTCAGTTCAAGAGCTGCTGAGCATCTTCCTGGAAGGTTTAACATTTTTATTTTATTTTCTTCTTCCTCCCTATTCACTTCTGCAATACATACTTTTGTTTCCCTATAGTATCAAGGTAGACAAGTTAAGTTTCCTATGACATTAGGATATTACTATCCATACCATAATAGCCGTAATTTATATTTTGCCTATTTTTGGAATTAAGTGCCAATTTGAAAAAAATTACTCAATTCTAAATATGCGTGTAGTTTCTGGATATTTGAAAAGGGAAAAAAGAAAATAGATTCTTATGTTCACTTTTAACAATAAAAACAATTTCTTATTTTATGATTTTTAGCTTAAAATGAAATAATATTCTACGTATATGAAATTACATTAACTACCGCTCACAGAGTTGCTTGTATGTATTCAAAAGAACAGAAAGAATGGTATCAGGGATATCAAAATGTAATTAAGAAGAGCCCCCAAGAAGCTACAAATGTTAATTTTAAGGAAGTAAAAGTGTCCTCTTCTAAAATAAAAATCACACAGATTAGCATGTAAATTTCTTAAAACATGCATTTATAAATCTTATAAATTTTAAATAATATTAGCATGTAAACAATATACACCGAAAAACAGTTAAATTCATAAATTTATCTGCTATAATCTTGAAATTTATATTCAAGAAATAATTGTAGGTGCCCCCACTCAAAAGACTCAATGATGTAACAACAGAAAACAGGTAATTACTGTAAATTTTGGAAGAATGTTATTAGCTTTTAAAGCGCTATCTCAATATGTTCCCTCACATTCTTCAGTGTCTCACTTGTAACATAAATTACATCAGAAAGACTTAATTCTTGTAGTAGAACAGAACAACCCTAGTTAATCAATAGACACTCAGTGAGGGAAAGACTTCTAGGAAGGCAGAGCATCTTTCTTAATCCTGAAACGGTTAGATTTGATCTTCTTTTAATACGATGTTAAAGATTCAATGCGGCTGAGTCAAATAAGGGTTGAGGAGGGCAACCAAGAGAGTAAGAGGAGAGCTCCCAGACTCACAAAGCAGTCGGTGTCCTTGGGTCCCGAGCAGCCCCCAGCACATTCTCGATGACAGCAGTCACTGACGTAGGGTCCGTAGCACCTGCCATCACATTGTTCTGCACACACTGTCCTTGTCACTGCAGAAGACAGAGATGGGCCTCGATCAAAGTCAGCCACCAAGAGAAACTTCTAAGGTGATTTGGAGTAGCTGAGAAAAGCTGAGCTCTGGAATACCAATTTACTCCACCCACCACTCATTCAATTTAGCAAACATTTACTAAATGCAGTCTGCAACAGATCAAAATGACTGTAGAAAAACCTTCAAAATTAACACATAAATTTGTTTTTATATTCTTTCTTCTTCCAGCAAATACTTATAGTGCTGTATAAAAACCATACGATTTAGCAGAAAAGAATCAAATTTGAAATAACTGAATGAGGCATTTCGGCAGGTTGGGAAAGATGGAGCCAGCAGAGAAGTCAATTCACGATGTGCACAGTAAGGTCCTATGGCAGAATGTGTCCCCAGAAATGAATCTAAGATTTTTAGCAGTCAATGTAAAAAGGAAATATAAACTCTTACATGATTCACATTATGTTTTATGTGATTCGTATTATATAGAGATAGATAAACTGATCTGTAGTAGCACAATTGTTTCTATTCCTGGTAGAATTCCTGGTAGAAATTTTCTACCAAAATTTCTCAAATAGAAGGACCTATGTAAGGAATGGAGCGACATAAAAGAGAGAGAGAAAGAAAGAAAGAAAGGAGGAAGAAAAGAAAGAAAGAAAGAAGGAAGGAAGGAAGGAAAGAAAGAAAGAAAGAAAGAAAGAAAAAGCAGAAAGAAAGAAAGAGAAAGAGGGAGGGAAGATGAAAACACATACATAGCAAACACAACAAAAAGCATCATTGGTCTTTTCTTATAATGTCCTTCATTCCAAGCTAACAGCATCATATCAAGGTATGCTTTAATGAAAGCAATGCTATAGGCTGGGCATCAAAACTATAGTGTTGAGGGACACAATTCTGCTTATCTCACTTATTCCAGAGATATTTTGAGAAAATTAGAGAAATGAATTTTACAGGCTATGCAGCATATTGCTTCTTGGTTTTTGTGTTTCCACTTGAGCCTTGTTTCTTCCCATGTCTTTGACTAGTTCCCCCAAACTTCCTTCACTGTTACTAGAGTGAGATTCCACTCCTTAAACATTAGTATTCCCCAGAGTTGGTCTGGACAATTTTCTCTGGGCTATGGGCTCATGCCTGGGTGAAATCATCCATCCTCTACTTTGCATACTACTTATAGGTAGATGACATCCACATCTGAATTCTCAATTGAGCTGCAGCATGTGTTTCCATCCGTCCACAGGAATCCCATTTAGTTACCCCAGGGTGTACAAAATGGGATGTAACTTGCTTTCCTACCTCCACCAGTGAGTATATCTTTTTTCTTTGTTCCGATATCTCAATGATTAATAGCACTATACATCCAGTAGGTCAGCTAAAAATCTGGGGTGTGTTTTCTATTTCTCCTTTCCCCTCACCATCACCTCTCATACCTAAAAATATTATCAAGTGCTAGCCATAAACATTCCTCGTTACTGTCTCTCTTCTATACTCCAACTTCACTCAGAAACTTATCCCTAAATTATTATACAGCCTTCTAAAAGTTTTTCAGATGCCAATTAATGCTCCATGTTACTTTAAAAGAAATGGCTTGAAAATACAAGCCACTGCCTATAAATCTGTGTTGTTTCACAGTATGAACTTCCTTGCCATCCCTGTGTCAAAAGAGTATATCCTTAGCAAGGGATGAAAGTCTTTCATCAGGTGACCACCATCTCTATCATTACTGGTATCTCTCACTACTCTCACTGTGCTTCTCACATCCAGCCACAGAGAAACACCACTTGTGATTCCTAATTCCTTGTACCATAAGTAATTTTGCCTTTTGTCATTGCCTTTTGACAATGTATTCCTCCATGCTAAACCGCCCCCCTCCCCCGTCTAGCAAATACTTATCCATAAGATCCAGTTCTGCTGCCACAGATAGCCTTTCAGATACATCCTCAGGCTGAGTTAGTCTATCACTCTTGCTTCTGAACAAGCAAGAAGATCAAGTTAATACAGAGGTCTATGCAGTCAGAAGGCCTAGGCTCAAATACAAACTCTACCCTTGTGCTACGGGCAAAGTATTTAACCATTCCATATTTCGCTGTTCCATTTTAAAGACAGAGTTCGTATTAGTCCCTATCTAATGGGACTGAAGATAAATAGACATACAGGTATCAAGTGCTTAACATGGCCCCTATAAATAGTGCTCAGCAACTGTTAGATATTATTACTGCACTTATCATAATACACCATATTTATTTTTTCCATGTTTGCTCTCCTACTATACTATTAGTAGGAGTAAACTAATTTATTGAAGTGTATTTTCTTATCTAAGATTGTATCCTTAGTGACTAGTGCAGTGTTTGGCACTTAGTACACAATCAATAAATACCCTCTCCAAGTAAATAAATAAGTCATATATTGCCATCTTAATGAAATTATCTGTTGAGTGCTTAATGCACTTATCAGAGGGAAAGAAAACACATAAAGAATTAAAAGGGTAGGGCAGTAAGATATATAGAGACAAATATTAAAATACTGAGAAATAGAGCACATCAAAATGCAAATACTTAAAAATTTTGTTAATATCTTTTTAGATTTATATGCCCCTTAAAGTCTGCCATTGATTGTTTCATGATTCTGTATTTTCACTTGGATCCTTTTCAATTGAACATGATGATGATATTCATAAAATAGTGCACAATGTTTAAATAAGAACTGTATCCTTCCATTGGATATGACTATATTACTCCCTATGTAGTATAATCAATACAAACACCTAACAGAATTTAAACCAAGAAAGCACATGGACCCATCTTCTCTCTTTTTATTTTGTAAAAATAAAGTCATATGATATTTCTTATAAGCTTATAGAAGATTTTGAAAAAGGCAGATTTTTACTCTAGGTTTGTAAGGGCATATTTTGTATTTGTAATTTGGGTAACATTAAATTTTGAAATTAATAATTTCTTCTGTAAGTATTCTAGTATAAAATTCTACATAATAATGTAGAATTATTTTTTTACCTTCTCTAAGCCTTTGCTCAAATCTCTCCTTCTCAGTGAAGTCTACCCTTATTTAACAGTGAATCCTTTCCAAACCACTGATTCCTGATGGATCCTTCTCTTCTTCCTTTCCTTCTCTTTCTTCCTTCCTTCCTTCCTTCCCTCCCTCCCACCTTTCTTCTCTTCTTAATAATAGTAATTCAATAATAATTATACTGTGAAGTTTCAAACATGTATTTTAAATTATTCAGTCATATGTTGAGTCCACTTAAAATTTTTCAAAATGGCATTTTCTTCTATATAGTGGACACACATCTCATAGTTTTTCGGGACACTTTGAGCTTAGATATGCCATTTCATTTCAGGAACATGCAGAGAAACATCCATCTATGTAATTACTTTTTAAAATTTTGATTTAAGATATTAAAAGGGAATTATGGTATTTACTTCAAAAAACAGTCTATAATTGATTTAAAAGATAAAAAGTCTGATACATTCAAGAATACAAATAACACTTTTTGATATCATGGTTTTCACATGACTTAATTCCAGTTGAAAGTTCAGTAAGGATGAAACATATTTACAAGTGTTTACTTGACAGATAATATACGTAACCAAAAAGACAAAGCAATAACCTTAATCTCTAAACAGTGATGTGACATAGTTAAGAAACATTTTTTCACATAGTTATGTGAGACTCATTTTTCGAAAGAAAATTTGCACAATCTACTGAATGGCATTTGTTGATTAATAAGAATTACTTAATATGAATTAAACACATCAAACTATACTCATATTTTATTATGATGGAAACAAAAAACAGTTTCTGAAATCAATGAGGTAACTCAGCCTCCACGGGAACATTAACTTATAATTGCTTTGGTTATATTAATTTGCATCCTTGCTTGAATATTATTTCATTAGAATTTTTCCCCCTGTATTTAGTGTACTTTCTAAATCGCTTCATTGGGTCCATTAAAATATCTGAGTTGAATTTTAACTAGCTTATTCATTGGTGGTACATCACTAGCTGTAATTGTTTAATATAAAAGGTAAAACTTGCGAAGTTAAAACGCTTATTAGATTAGGGTCAATAAACTTGAAATTGGAAGTGGGGGTTCATTGAAAATACCCATGAGAATCAGTTGGGTAAAGCTGAAGGAAACAAACATTCCAGAGTAAGGGGATGCTTCGGGGAGAATATCCACCATTTCAAAACACTGAAGTGTTTGTAAGTAGCTTTATCATATCAGTGTCTCACTAATAAAACAATGGCTTAATTACTTCTTTAAATATAATGATAACTGCACTTAAAGTTACTCCCTTAGAAGAAATTTATTTTATTGGAAGAACTTTGGCAATTTATTAACCAAATATTTATTGTTGCTTCCTGTGAGTAACAGAAAGGACAGAGAAAATACATAAATCTTGCAAAACAGAGCACTGACGTCACAATGACAAGACAAAAGATATCTACCCACTAAAAAAAAATAAATAAGGCTAAATTTAGGCAAAGTCTTTATAAGCATCTTCTTCCCATGTCTTTATATTCCGCCATTTTTCTCCTCCTCCCCTATTCCCTTCTTCCTTCATCTTCTGCATCTTCTCACCATCAGTGCCTTTCAATTTTCTTCTCTACTGAGTAGTTCTAAAACCAGGCTGGATATTAGTTCATCTAACAGAGCCTTTCAGACTTCCATATGGGGCCTCTTGTGTAAATGAAGATTTTGATTTAGTCAACATCAGTGGAGCACAAGATTGTCCATTTCTAATAAGCTCCCAGGTAAGGTCACTGCCTGCTGGTCCACAGACCCTATTTTGAGTAACAGGATATAGAGTACTTTAAAAAAAATGCCTAGGAATTATATAATTCATATTAAATTGAAAACACCTACAAGATTCTAGGATTTGATACATTTAATAAACTCCCCAGTTGATTCCAATATGCAGCCAAGAGTTGAGAACCATTATGCCATCCAGTGAAAATGGGAAAAACTCTAGGTTATTTAAACTATTT